TCCCCTCGAGCTTGGTTTGACAGGTTTAGAAAAGTCTGTAAAGAGCCATAGATATTGTCAAGGTCAAGCCGATCACACCATGTTCTACGTAAGGTCACCGAAGGTAAACAAACAATTCTAATTATCTATATTGATGATATTATCTTAACTAGTGATGATGAAGAAAAGATGAAGATTTTGAAATTAAAGACCTCGGACCATTAAAGTATTTCCTAGTGGATGGAATTTACTAGATCAAAAATGAGGATCTTTGTCAATCAAAGAAAGTATATCCTAGACCTATTAGATTAAACTGGTCTCTTAGGATGTAAGGCGGTTGACACACCAGTAGAGCCAAATATGAAGCTCAGCCTACCAAACTCGAGGATGTGATTGACGGAGATAAGTTCCGGAGGTTGGTGGGAAGACTAATAAACTCGTCTCATACAAGACTAGATATAGCTTTTGCAGTAAGCACGATAAGTTAGTTCATGCATTCTCCTAGTCAAGAGCATTTTAAAGCCGCTTATAGAATCCTAAAGTACTTGAAGGGAACTCCCGGACAAGGGTTGATGTTCCGGAAGAGGAATAACCTCTAAGTGGAGGTGTATACGGATGTTGACCGGGTTGGAGCAAAGACGAATAGAAAGTCAATTTGTAGGTATTGTACTTTCATTGGAGGAAATCTAGTAACCTAGAGAAGCAAAAAACAAAATGTGGTAGCTTGAAGTAGTGCTGAGGCGAATTTAGAGCTCTAGCTCACGGGATTTGCGAGGCTATATGGATTAAAAGAGTTTTAGAGGAGTCGAAGGTTCCTATTGCTACACCTATAAAGGTCTACTCGTGACAACAAGGCTGCAATTTTGATTGCACACAACCCGATTCTTCATGATAGAACTAAACACATAGAGGTGGATAAAAATTTTATCAAGGAGAAGATTAAAAGTTGACTCATTTGTATTCCCTACATCCCTACAACTCAATAAGTAGTTGATATTCTTACAAAAGGACTTCCTAACAATCAATTCAATGTGTTAGTAAGTAAGCTATATATGGAAAATATTTTCCAGCCAACTTGAGGGGGAGTGTTGGAAGATACAAGTATAAAAGATTGAGTTGAGGAATTAGCTCCTATAAATTAGCTAAATCAAATCTATTAGTAGTTAATGTACAACCGTAGTTTCCTAGTATAGCTACACTATTGTATTATATAAACTTGTATCCGAATAATGAAAAGTCGAGCAATACACATACCTTTTGCTAACCCTATTTCCTAGAAAAAAATTGATTCATTTTGATAAATAAAAAAATAATTTATAATTTATCGTGTCTTGCATCATTTAAAGTTAAAAATAATAATAATAATAATAACTCATGCCAATCAATTTGGCTTAGTTTTTCAAGAAAGCTCGAAAAAGGTAGTGTAAATCAACCATCAACTTTGTTATTTTCACTATTTATTTTTATTTTTTTTATATTACTAGCACATTATTCATCAATATTTGTTATATTATAATTAAATATATATTTATATCAAATATCTAAAATATATTTCAATATTTTGCTTTTCAGTTTCTTTAATGTCTTTCAATACTTTTGCGTTTCGGTGTTTTTATTTTTCTTTTCATGCATATTTATATTTTAAATATTTAATATAAAGCATAATTAATTATGATATACTAACAACCATGAATAAAAATATATATATTAGTAAAAAATGAAATGGTGAGAATAACAAATTTGATGATAAATTTAGTGAACATTCAAAAGTAAAAACCCTCATTTCTCAACAACCCAATCCTTAATCCAAAGTCACAAAAAAAAACATTTATATTCATATTTGTGTTTCTTAATAAAACTAAAAAGTTCTCTTAACAATAACAATGAAACACAACATCCAAAATACCAAATAACAAAAGGCTATTAACATACATTGTGTGTAGCAAGTATCAATACAATACATGTATTTTATAATAATATGAATACGATATGATGGTCTCGTCATTTTTTATTACATTACATTACAAAAGAAATTAAAACACATGGGTGTTTTATTGTTTATTTACTCGTTCACACCCACTTAAAATACCGTGGACTTAGACTCATATGTACTTGTTTGGACTCCTTTCCATAAATGTTGCCCATCCGTTTAGGTTTCTTCATGGCTCATGCTCGATTCACACCATGTGATTATTTACTTCTTCTTTCGGATATATTTTAAAACTTTGTTCCTCATTTTCTCTTCTTTTTAGTTGCATTTTTTATCCCCTTTCTATCAATCTGGGTTGTTCTATTTAACCTAGAAATCCCAACCCTCCATTCATCATATATAATGAAAATATTTTCTCTCTCATCACTCGCTTCTTTCATCTTTCAATTCTCGTTTCTCCCACAACCATAAGTCGACGAGTTAGTCGTAAAAGTAAGATCAAAAAGGAAAAAAAGAAAAACGAAAGAGATGAGAGCATGGGCAAATAGAAAAATATGTGAATGGCAGAAAAAGATGTGAATGGTAGATGAAAACTAATTAAAAGTCCCTTCCCTTGCAACGTCGGTATTTTGATTTTCTATATGTCTTTTTTCCCTTTTTGTTCGGCTTTTGAGTTTTGAATTTATTTATTTATTTATTTTTTGTTTATCTAATCCGGGTATTATTATTATTATTATTATTTATGAAATTGATTATGATGATCATGAATTTGTTTGGATTTTTGATCTAACCATTCGTAATCTAAGCATCCATGCAATTGAAGATAGTCCGGTTATTAGTCATTTGGTTGTTTGCCTCAATTTTTGTGGGAACTTGGTCATATTATTCCATATGGATTTTTTTGAGCAAGGTCTCGCTACGTTTCATGATTTTTTTCTTTTTTCTCGCCTTCATGTTTTTTTTCCTTCTAAATAAGCTTTTTTAGGTAATTTTTAAATGGTTTCGATTGTGTTTGTTGCTATTTTCATTATCGTTCCCTTTTGTGTCATATGTTCCGTATGTCTAGCATTCTCCTATTATTCTGTTTCATAGTTTTGTTTTTTTAGGAGTTTATTTATTGCGATAGGTTACTAATTGAGAAATTATGGGTTTTGTTTTTGTAAGGATATGGATTTGTCAAAGTTCTTTGCTAACGGTGGTTTATTCTCCTCTGTTTGTGCTTTTTTTTTTTTTTTTGGCGTCCATTAAGAGGTATTTCATTGATTTTAACTCGTATAAGTTGAGTTTCTTTATTTTAACATTTATGCAAAAAATGGAGGAACTTACCGCATTTTTTCGTAATACATGCAGAAGTAACTTCGCATTTAACGAGTTTTCTTTGAAGAGACAATCAAATGACTACAAGAAGAAAATGATTCACACGTACGTAAAGAGTTACTACGAATTTAATTTAACCGTAGGAATGTGCCCGACAAAAAAATTCTGAATTATTTCACCCATTTCATGCTCGTAATATTAAATTGGTTCTTTGTGTTGACATTTATGTAAAGTATGAAGAAACTTACTCGGATTTTGCAGGCTATCTTAGAAGAGGCAAGAAACGATTACGTAATGAAAATGCTTCACACATACGAAAGAGGTATAGGTCGCTGAATCTATATTTTATGCTCTATGCACTTTTATTGTCCGCCCTAAAATGGATGATTTGTAGGTTGGTTTAGAAATGAAAATTGTACAATTGTAGAGTGAAAAAGATTTCTGGCTTCGGAAAGAGTTAATTTTGGTCTTATATAGGATTATAGATAAATCTTTCTCTTTTGTAATATTTAACACATTCAAGAGCATTTCTCTTTTAAAAATTTAATAGGCTTATAAACGAATGCCCTACAATTCCTCCATCCTAACATTCAAAATTTTTGTCTAGCTATACCATTTCAGCATGTTGACAAAGATGGTACAAAAACCGATGCTCCACAATTCAAAAATTCAATAGCTCTACAAAAAATATTAGAAGGGAAATAGTTGTTAAAAAATATATTAATTAAATTTATCAGATTCTTTCAACTTCAAAAATTATCATTTATTAAAAATATATCCCTAACTTCTCTACGGTTTTTTAAAACGTACTATTTATCACAATCACATCATTTATGTAAAACCTATAGAAAAATAATGTTGTCCGGTTGACAAAAATATTAAATTCTATCAAGCAATAGAATGGATATGCCAAACAATATACCTTTTATCTATTTGAATTAAATTAAAAACCATTATTTAAATATAATTTGTTTTGACAATTAAAACTATTCATATTCTATAATCATACAAATATAAATATATGAACATACTCGAAATCACTATTTAAATATAGAAAACAAACAATAATGACAACAAAAATAATTAGTCATCTAAAAAAAGATGAAATTTCTCCGGTGTAAAGAATTTGTATGTCTTTTGTATTCTTAATTTATCCACGTAAGTCTACTGTTTATGGATCAAAAGCTTTTCACTATTCTATAACATTTATAAAACACTATTCTTTTTTAACTCATATCTTTTATGAAAAAAAATAATTTCAGTTATACCACTATTATGTTAAAAGAAAACCATTGTTATGTTAAAAGAAAATAACACAACACTTTGCATTAGCAGATAACGACTCACCCGCACCATCGCGCGGGTCTCAAGCTAGTCTAATCTAATTGGTCTACGCTTATCCCATACCACCACGAGATTTCGTCACCAAACTTTTGCCTTTGTTAAAAAATGGTAATAGCTTAGCATATTTTCATAAATCTCAATTCAAAAAAGCAAGCATCCATAAATAAATTAAAAAAAAAAAACATAATAGAAATTGTAACAGTAGGCACCGTATTCCATGGAATATGATATTCACAAATTCATCGTTCCACCAATATAATTAATTCTCAATTTAAAAATACGACATAATTAAAGCATAACAGCCACAAATTAAAAACAGAAATAACCTACAGATCTTGCTGTTGAGAATTAAACAGAACCCGCGTACCACCACCACCACCACACCGACCACAGCCAGTCATATCACCACCGCTGCAGAAAATTCAGTCATCTAACCCCCAATTCCTTTAATAGCATCCATGGAATCCCACCTAGCACCCATCATCATCATCACCTTAAACTCCTCAAAATCAATCATCCCATCGCCATCACTATCAACCCCACTAATCATCTTCCTGCACTCAGCCATTGAACAAGGCTCCCCCAAACTGGCCATAACCTTATGCAATTCCTCTGCAGAAATAGACCCATTTCCATCAATGTCGTAAACAGAGAAAGCATCCTTTAGATTCTCCATTACCTCATTCGTATCCACCCCATGTGTGTTTAGTGCCACGAATTCTTGCAAATCAATGAACCCATCACCGTCGGCGTCGAATTCTGTTATCATAGTTTGCAGCTCATCTTCTGTTGCTTCATAACCCAGGCTTGCCATGATCGAGCCCAGTTCAGCTGAGGAGATCTTTCCATCGCCGTTGACGTCGAATTTCTTGAAAACTTGCTCAAGCTCTTCAACTTGGGGTCTCAGCCTGACAGAGGGAGATTTGGATCCGTTTATTGGAGTAGACATAGCAGATGGTGAATCGATAGAGGAATCTGAATTCTTGGACTTCCTGCGGCTGAAAAGGGATTTAAACATTTGTTTTTAGATTTGTGATTTCAAAAAGAAAGAAGATGAAAGAGAATGAGAAGAGAAAGGAATGAGAGGGAGAGAATGGTGATGTTATTTTTAGGTTTTTGAAAAGAAATTGAGTGCTGAGATTAGTTGTAACAACAGAAAAAAATTTATTTGGTTGGTTTTGGGAAATGCAAATTTGGAGGGCTTGTTAAGGAGAAAGTCTAGGCGTGATTCGTTGCTCCCACTCCCGTGCCATACCATAAAAAGCTGTCTCGTGCGTTATGTAAAGTGCAGTAATCTGTCCATAGTTATATTATTGAATTTTAACCTTTTCATTTTCTATACAGATCTTTTTGAGATCGAATTTGTGCTTTCTGATATTGATACTGATTCTGATTCTGAATCTGAATCATAACACTATTTTGTGCTGACACGTTAGCCAGGATTTCTGCGTAATTCAAATAACTACCACAACAAGATCCACCTTTTACAAGTTAAATATTCAACAAACTAACTTAGCTCGGTAATGAATGGTTTTGCATTCCACGTCATCTAAGATTTAATTTCAAGGAAAGTTACCTAAAATAAACTGCTCCTTGGGTTTGTATGATGTTTTAAAAAAAAACCTAAGTATATATAATAAATTCCAAAGGCAAAACAAATAACAAATTAAGCCAGAATACTATTGTCTCAGTCTAAAAAAGATTGCGTAATTTTTATGTGGTTTAATAACAAAAATTACCTCTAAAATATTAAGTTATGATAATTTAAGATCCATATTATCAATTTAGGTTATTTAGTCCTTAAACTATTGGGGTTGTTGTGAAATAAAACTTATAATATTAATTCGGGTTATTTAAATCTTAAATTATTAATTTTTGAATAAATTTTATCTTTTTGATTATTTTCGATAGTTAAAGTGTTGACCCTTCTTCTTTTTCTTTCCTTTTTATAATAGCTAGCTTTAAAGAATATTAGATGATTTTATTGTTTATGGATTTGACTTTTATAGTTGGATAATTAATGATGTGTAATAGATTCATCTAGTAAAAAAACTCAATAATTAATTTTTTAAGAATTAAGATTAATTTTTTAAAAAAATTAATAATAATTAGCTTTAAGGTAGATTAGATGATTTTGTTTTACGGATCTTTTGTTGTTACATAATTAATGATGTGCAATGGATCCATTTAGTTAAAAAAAATCGAATTATTTTTTTAATTTTATTTTGTGAAAAAAATAATAAAGACGGATAAAATTTGTGAAAAAAATTAATAGTTTGGAATTCAAATGGTTCAAATTAATTACATACCTTATTTTGCGACAACTCCAATAGTTTGGGTGTAAGATTTGTTATTAAACCATATTTTAGTTAATGGTCAACACTTTGACCATTAAAGATAATCAAGACAATAAAAATATTTGTTTAAAAAATTATAGTTTGGAGTCTAGATAACTTAAATTGACAGTATGAGCTTTAAATTGTCTTAACTAAGTAGTTTCATGGTAATTTTTTCCACTAAATCCTTTCTATTTATATCTATCCGTTTCAAAATACATGTATAGTCAAAACTTTAAATAATATTTTTTTTAAAATACCTCTAATTTATATATGAAAAATCAATTCTTCCTTTTATTTTATGTTCTTCGTTAACAAAAAAAAAATCAATGATATTTTCTCCTTCTATACACAAATACTTTTAATTTAAATGAAAACTTATTGTTACATGAAAAACAATAATTCTTGTAAAGACCTTATTATTTGTCGAATTTTTAAGAGTAAAATATTTTTATTAGTATGTTGTTTTTTTATAATTGTTTTAAACTTGATAGTTAATTCATTTTAAAAAATTCTTTAATTTACCACCTTAATTTTGAATATAATTTCTCCTTAAATTATTATTGGTTCTATATAATGCATAATTAAATTTGATAACTAGCAATTTTTAATAAAAATGATATTTTAGGAAAGTATAAGAAAATTGATATGAAATAATAATTAATAACTATTTTAACCTGAGTGAAAAGTAAAAAAAGACAATTATTTTTTAGATGGAAGAAGTTGTAGTTTATGTGTGGCATTCCCCCTTGTAAAGTTGCAGGGAGGGCGGAGTAAACCTTAAACAAATACGGAAAGATCCACACACACAGAAATATATATATATATATATATATATATTCATGCATGTCAATTGAAACTAATCGCTGGTCGAAAACTCTTAAAAATGGACTCTCCATGTTAACATAATGCATTTAGAAGAATTTAATAAACTTTTTTAAATGCTTACCTCAAATTAAAGTTTGATTCAATAACATTAAGGATGAAAGCAAACATTTTTAACCAACGGAGCAAGCTCTTAAAATTGGGATCCCTATATTATGATTTGCATTGGAATCAAAATTAAAAAAAATATATATTTCTCATGCAAAGGTTGAGATTTAAAAACTTATTAAGATGTATTTAGTGGGTTGGTTTATGTGGTAAGTTGAAAATTTATTAAGATTCGAGATTCGAATTCTGTTACTGACTTTTTTTTTTTTTTTTGAGAAATAATAAAATTATTATGATTAACGTAGTTCATAGAAGTATTTTAAATTTTAATTTCCATATATATGCAAAAAGATCTTTTCAAATTGCATATAGATTTGGAAAGCACAATATTTTTTATTAGTTCAATGGTACCATTAGCCTGTCAATACATCCATTTTCCTCGCTTAAGAGAAATACTTGTGATGACAAAGTCCAGTTATTCCCAAAAAATTAATATATCTAACTAATTGATACGCACTTTTAAAGGATCTAACTTGCAAACAGTACAACACTAGGTAATTATCCACGTGATGTTGTATGGGATTTCAAAAAGCATTTTAATTGATATGATTATTAAATTGAAATATATTTTAAAATAAAGTATTTATTAATTTAGATAGATAGATAAATAAATAAATAGATAATATTATGAATACTTGGATTGGTACGAATATTTTATTATTTATATATTGACATACTTATTCTATTTAAAAAGTTTTAAAGTTATATTCATTAAACTGATATATTATTCTGCAGAAATTTTCACTGCAATCGAAAAATATATATTAATTTAAAATTTTATTATCTCAAAGAATTTTCTTTAATTTTATTATTTAATAAAATTATTTAGATATTTTAAATTAAATTTGAGTATAATTTTTTTTATAAAGAGAGAAAAATATATATTACAAATAAAATATTGAAGTGTGGTAAGAAAGTCTTAAAAATATATTATAATAAAATAATAAAAAATATAGATTTATGTGAAGAGGATAATTAATTTATTTTTATTCAATTTTCATATATATATATATATGAGCTAGAAAAGCTAAAAAGAAGGTGTAGGCCTTTACACTGGGGGCATACGGTTTTTATATTATATATAAAAAAATCTTTTTATTTACGGAACATCAGCTGGCTTGTACTTTTTTTTTTTTCCTTAAAAAGAATGTGTTATTGAATAAATTCAAGGATTGCAATAAATAGAATTATAAATTGAGGTATGCAAACCACATCATTACTGCTATTAATTTACACGTAGGGGATCTGTTTTAAATAAATTCTAAATTTAGGTTCGGGTATGTAAATATTTTTTTTTTGAAATATTGAAATTGTTTGTTTACACGACATCGTGTTTGCAGCAACTATATTGAATGAAATTTAAGTTCTAAGAATTAAAATGAAGTTAATTATAAAAAAAGTTAAATTGTTTGACACTACAATGTTTTAGCTTAATACTTTTTACTCTGTTTATCAATGGTAAAAGAATTCAAGATTTTTAACGGAGGAGTTTTAGTTTAATTGATAAGTGGGTTTACTTTTCACATTATTATCAAGGATTCAATTTTATTTTTAATTTAAAAAAAATTGTTCTTATAATGCATTAAATTTATTGTGTATGGCCTAATTAAGAACTAATCAAAATTCGAAAAAGGAATTTGTCTCGGAAAAGGTAGCTGTTTGATATCTTCTTAATGTCATGCCAAAAAAAACAAAAACAAAAAACAAAAAAAGTGTTTGTTATAATGTGATGGCAGAAATAAACAAGTCTTTAATGGTGAAAAAAATTAACTTAATTTAGAGAAAAAATTCTAATTAATTAGTATGTGGTTTTATTAATTACTGACTTGCATAACTTCAGAGAACGGGTATAGAATCGGGGTATTTCTTTTCTTATGGAATAATTAGAATTAAGTTGCGCATGCATGGTATATGGCGTTACATTAAAAGTCATATATTTTTTTAGAAATCATAATGCGACAGCTTACTGATAAGAAAATATTGATTTGTAGATTAGTCCAATGTTCGATTCTTATAGTTAACATTTTTAAAAATTTATTTTTAAAATATCTAAAGTCGTGCATTAGAAAATAATTTTTAATCACATTGAAAAAATTATTAGTTTTGAAGTACATGAAAATTAACCCGAGTACAGCTTTATTGCTGAATAAAAAAAATTAAATTCTGTTCTATATTTGGTATATGTCATGATTTTTTTATCTAAAATCTCATTGCTTGATGTTTTGATGAATTATTCAGCATAAGAAAAGTTGTACTTTCTTCTCTCACATAAATATGAGATTTTATATTCGATTTTTTTTTCATATAATAAGGTATTTTTAAATATTTTTCTTATAATAAAATAGTTTTAAACTTATTTTTTATAATAAGGTATTTTATGCCAAATAAGAATAATTTCAATTAAATATATTAACATGTCAATTTATTTTTTTCACTGAAAAATATACTTAAAAACCATTTCTATTATATTCAAATTATAATTATGTTTTTTTTAATTAATCAAACGATGTGTTTTACTCCTTTGTATGCATATATATAGCTTCTCAGCGGCTCAGCCCTCTCTCTCGTAGAAAACCCGAAAACAAACCGATCTTTCAACAAATTTAATTTTCTCTCCGTCTCTCTTTCTTGATAACAGTGTCTTGATCAAAACACTCATCATGGAGTGCAGGCCATTAGAGATCACGGTTACGTCAGCCAAAGATGTCAATGTTTTTGGCAAGATGGATGTCTATTGTATTGTTTCCATCAAAGGAGATCCATATAAATCTAAGCAGAAACAGCAAACCCACGTTCATAAAGATTCGGGGCCTAACTCTCTTTGGAATTTCCCTATGAAATTCACCATTGACGAAGCTGCTGCTCAACAACATCGCTTAAAGATCAAGTTTAAGCTTAGAGCTAAGCGGATGATGGGGGATAAAGATGTTGGTGTCGTCGTCTTGCCTGTCAAGGACTTACTGGATGCAAAAGATAGAAAAGGCATCTTGAGTTATGCTGTCAAGACCAGCTGGGAAGATGAAAGGAACGTTGAATTTCTCGTTTAATTTCGGCGAGATATTCAATGCTCCTGCGCCGGCGAAGGCGAAAAAGATTAAAGATTAAAGATGAAGAATTGCTGGACCCAATTTGAATGGGCTTTTCGGAAGACGGTCAGGGACAACTCCTTGATATTCCTATGCTACTAACAAAAACATGGATGAAGTATTATATATAACTGATGATGGTTTACTTAATTTGGTCCGTGAATTTATTCTTGATTGAAATATAGGCTAAACGGTATAAATTTCTCGTGAACTTTAAATCATTTGAAAATCGTTAATTAATTAGTTCCACTTTCAAATCAAACACAGAGTTCTTCCTAGGGCTGCCACCTAATTTTGCTTGGCAATTTTGTTTGCAACAGACGCTGGATAAATGTGGTCAGGATATGGTCGAGCCTAAAGGCGGCATTTCCATGGTGGCTAAGCCCTCTGCCTATCTGAACAGGGTTGTTAAGATCAGGCATTCGCCTACAGACGACGGGAAAGATACGGTTTTTGATTAATTAAAAATAAGAGTAAAACACATTATTTGATTAATTAAAAATGACATGTCCATAATTTAAATACAATAGAAACGGCTTTTGAGTATGTTTGTCAGTAAAAAAAATACAATGCCTTATTATAGAAATTTAAAAATAATTTATTATGGGAAAAAACTCATATTCATATAAGAAGAAAGAATACAATTCTTAATATTACTAATAATTTATGCGATGGATCATAATTAATCCTCAACTTATCTCTCAATTAAAGATTGTAAACAATATGTAAATTAATATTAACTGCAAATTGATATAAATGAGTATTTAAATAGAAACGTATCAAGAAAATGCTTAGCTATATGGAAACTTGCTCGGAAATATTTTCTTACTATCAAGACCAAAATAAAAAATAAAAATAAATAAATAAACAATAATGCGCTAAGAATAAATTAAGTCATGGTAACGATGAACCCAACAAAAATGTGGTGGTAATGTCTTGATGCTTTACACGTTGCCATATCCCGTTTATACATATATTTGTTTCTTGGTACGTGTTCTACAATTGTATTATTTAACTAATTTATAATATTTTTTAATTTTTAAAATATTATATATAATTATTTATAAATTAATAAAATTAATTTTTATTAAATAAACATGTTTGATTTTCAACTAATTTTATATAAATTTTGATAATTATATTTAAACTATATATTTTTAAGCTTTTTACCATATATAATAATTTTAACTAGAGTTGAGTAAAAATTAGGGACATAAATAAATTATCTTTCAAAATTTAAGAACTAGCAGTTAGGATAAATACACGCGACTCTTAAAAAAATAATTACTGAAAGGTTTTTACCTAACATTATATTATCGTTTTTTTTTTCTATTTTAAACAATTCTTTTTAATTATATAAGCTGTGAATATAAATTAACAATACAAGTATAAATAAAAACATTATAATTTTTTTTAGTAATCTTGTATCTTTTTAATATTATCAATGTTTGTTCAATGAAGTAAAAAATAACGTAGGACTATAACAAAAAATAACGTATAAAAATTTAATCAAGAATTCAATATAATAACTTGAACTTTTTTTATATAATTTAATTATTTTCATATTTTAATACTTTATGTTTTTCTTGGTTAGTTTTGAATTTTTTTTTTTTAGATTTTTGATAGTCAAAATAAAGTACTATTGTAGTATTATGTGGTTTAAAAATAATTTAGACAGTTATTTTTATTATGTTATTTATGATGTTATGTGGTATATAAATAAAATAAATAAATAATATTGACCTATATTTTAGGATTCATTATATAAAAAATAGATTATTTTATAGAAATTAATATTTTCTTTAAATTTTTTAACATATTGGTCTTTTTTCTTAATTAGAGATCAGATCGATTTTATTTATTAATATCGGTAGTATATTATGATTTTATTACTCTATTAAGGATATAATGGTCAATCAAAACTTTTTAAGTGGTTTGTGTTTTTGTATATAGTTATGGATTAAATCTCAAGCTTTTTGGTAAACTTTAGAGATTTATTTCTTTATACATATATATATATATATATATATATATATATATATATATATATATATATATATATATATATTGTAAAGATTTTTGTAATTTATCTTGATTTTGATGATACAACGTAAGTTATGCTAGTGATTTTTTTTAATTGATGATATGAAGATTAGACAAATTAGAATTTTATTAAAAACAAAATTGATTGCATAAGTATTATTTTTAAACACAAACTCCTATAACAATTTGATAAAATTTTAATGTCAATAGAATTCTTTTACAATACAAATTGATCTCTCTACATATATATCCTCATTTTTTGTATTTCTTTAATATAAAACACATTTTCTCTCTCTCTCTCTCTTTTAATACAAATTTTCGTTTGTAATGTTTTAAACCTACCATTATATTTTATTTTGTTGAATTAAATCTATTTAGTGTTACTTTACTTAAGATAGACCCTAACTTAATGTTTAAAATTTTATTATGTGTTATAAAAAAATATAACAATAATAAAATTAGAGAGAAAATGATGGATAAATGATTTCACTATAAAATAAAGTGAGTATAAATAATAAAAACTTCAAATAATTCTCTCAATCTCTACAAAAACACATCTATCTAAACTAATTAATGAACAATCAAGTCAATTTATAGATTATAAGATTAGAAAGAGAATTAGAATGAACTATGAATTATTTAAAAATAATTAAATAATTGAATAAATTATATCATCTTTTTAATTTTTCATATTAAATGATAATTAATTCATATGAGTAATAAAATATAAAATAATTATATATTTTTATTATTTCATAACATTATGAATAAATTAGATTTTTAAGTGTTAGCCATACTAACCTTTAGAAGATTTGTCTAGTTGATAGATATAGGGCAGTCAACTGATATGCCAACATATCAGCTATCACCATCTCACTTGTTGAACACACGTCAGCGAAATGATATATTTCCACGTCGACTTTTTAGCTCCACCAACGTACGGCATGTCGTCGTGCCCTTAAGTCAATTTGAACAGTTAGTAACGTTCACCGAGTTACTCCCTAGCTACAAAGTTTTTACCCTTGAGCTAGATTGATAGCTCGATGCCGCGAATCAAAAAAAAAAAAAAAAAAAAAGACTTAAAAAAAAACAATTTAAGTTTTTTTTTAAATGAAGTAATATTAAAATTAAAATAAAAAATAATTTTGTCAAATGATAATGAGTAGAAATAAAACAAATGAATTGTATATTAAGTCAATTGATCATGCATTAAAAAACAGACAGTATTTAAAATTTGTTACCTGTATTTTAAGAGAGTTGAAAAGTCAACAAAGCCATTTTTAACTCATGATATGTTTTTTAAAATTGATTTCTCAATATTTTTTACTTTAAAATAGTAATTATAAAATACTTATTACTCTCTCAGTTCTAAAGCAATCTCTCTACTTTTCTCACAATTCTTTTTTTTTTTCAATTTTATCATGATTTCTTCATTACGAGCCTTTTTCTTTTTTTATTCTTTTCAATTCTACCCTGATTTCTTATATATATATATATATATATCAACTTGTTTTCAAATTTTCCCTAATTTTTTTGTCCTCGTATTTCTTTTTTTTTTTTTCCTTTTTCATTGGACTTTTCTTTCCTTTTTGTTATTTTGTTATTTTGTTATTTTTTTATTTTCCTTTATTATTATTATTGTTTCTTTTTTTCCAAATCAAAGATAAAAATACCATTATATCATAAAATCTTAAAAATTATAAGATTATATAAAATTATAGAAAATCATAGAATCATAGGCAATCATAGTTTTTTTTTTTTTAATTTTTTTAATGTATTTTTTTATTTTGAAAAATTGTAAAGAAAATAAGGGGTCAAAAATATAGTTATGAGAAACTTTTGTCATTTATGACAACTCTTAACCCTTTTCAATAAGAGTAATGTATTCAATCTTTATTATTGATAGATCGATATATAGAACCTCGACTCGTCATAAAAGTCATCAAGTACGTCAATGTGGACTTTCGGTACTTAACATAACCGAGTCTTATTTGCATATGTGTAGCCATTTAATATAGGTTTACCATTACCAAAGCAAAAGTTGTAATTGGAAGTGTCATTGAGATATTTGAGTACCTATTTCATTATTGAATAGTTTTTTTTTTAATAGGATATGGAGAGAAACCGACTCACGAAACTAACTCCATGTGTTGTATCCAACCTTGTGCAAACCATGACATACATCAAGCTATCAACTACAAATGCATAAAAAACCTTCTTCATCTCATTTTTTCTTCATTTCTTGAATGACATTGTTTGGAACTTAGCTTAAAGTGGCTTGTAAGCGGAGAACAAACATATTTAAACTTGCTTATATCAAATCTTTCAAGTTTCTTTTAAACATATCTCTTTTGAGATAGCAAAAAGTTTCTCATTCTTTTTGTCATGTGTAATCTTCATGTCAAGAATCTATTTTATCGATCCCAAATCTTTTATTATAAAAGGCTTGCTCAACTCTCTCTTTAAACTTTGAATCTTTCTAGTATCGTAGTCAACAATCAACATATCATCCACACGTTGTAAGAGAATAATGAAGTCATAATAAAAAATTTCTTCATAAACACAAAGTGATTAAAAATAGTTCTACCATAACCATGCTCCATCATGAAGGAATTAAACTTCTTATATCATTATCTTAGAGCTTGTTTCAACCCATATAATTTTCTTCTTAGCTTGCAAACTAATTGCTCTTTACCTTTCGGTTTAAACCCTTTAGATTATTTTACATTGATCTTTTCATCTAAGTCACCATGAAGAAATGCAATTTTCAAATCAAACTGTTCAACTTCAAGATTTAAGCCAATGTTCAAGTTTCGATCACTATAATGTTGAAATAGCTTATACCATACTCCTAGAAAAAGCTCAAACAACCTTCGATAAAATGGTACCTATACCCAAAATTGACATAGATGGGTAGGTAGAGAATACCTAGGAGTGCGAGACAAATCTCTCTAAGGAACTCGATAAAATAGGCCCGTAATAGTTAAACCAAACATAACTAAAATTGAAAACATCTTGATCACAAGTGAAAAAAAAATTCTTCAAAATCAATACTCTTCTTTTGATCGAAATCCTTCACAACCAATCTTGTCTTATACTTTGGTAGTGAGCAATGTTCTTCGATTTTCAATCTAAACACTCATTTTTTTATGAGTGCTCTTTTTCACTCAAAAAGCTTCATTATCCCAAAAGTATAGTTCTCATACAAGGATATCATCTCATCTTATATGTAATATCGATACCCGCTAAAAGAGGATAATAAGACGCAAAAAGTTTATAGGGTATTTTAAACTAAACATAGGACCTAATTATTGTTAGTAGACTTCCACATCATAATTACACCTAGATAAGTTAGAGATAGGTCACGGTGCCTTGTTAGCTTACATTCATTGTATTTTAAATATAGGTTAATGACGGT